TTAGGAGCAAGAATGACATTTTTTTCTACTGTACTCTGTAGCAGGACTACTATTCTACAGCTTTTGCTACAAAAATGGTTTATGAAGTCTTATGAGAGCAAAAGGTAAGGGGTCAATAGAGTATTTAACAAAAACGGGAGTACCACCAGCCAAATAGGTGAAGAGACACTCTGAGACTAGTTAAGTGTTGTAAGATTTTAAACATACTATTAGTATCAAAGTCAACCAAGTCACGGCTTAGCCAATAAGATACAGGATATACTATTAGTATCAAAGTCACGGCTTAGCCAATAAGATACAGGGCAGACTAAAATTATACAGATGTAAAGTGAGCTCCCAAAACTATATTAATTCTAGAGGGGTAATTCCATCAAAAGTCTGCTGCAATAAATACAAAAAGCAGTTCTGTGGCACCTTAAGGCCTCACACATTTATTGAAGTGGGCTCAAACCTACAAAGGCTTACGCTTCAATAAATCTGCTAGTCCTTAAGGTACCCCAAAGTCTCTTTTTTATTCTGTGTACTGTATTAGAATTCACACATCTCCATAGCCATGAGATCCAACCAGCTGTGCTTCATTCTCCCAGGTAGAAAGAAAGCAATTTAACTGAAGGTCAAATCCAAGCTATAAAAATGCCCCTGCTTCTTGGGAACTCAATCAAGCCAGTCAGGAACAATACAGGAGCCACACCAGCCCACACACCTTTGAAAGACGGTTAATCCTTGCTGCAGAGACTAGAATTTAATCACTAGCAGTTTTAATATGTAGAAATTATACACACAGTTACTCCTCCAAACACCATGTCCTTCTCACTTGGGAACACAATGATTTCCAGGACTGTTTCAAAACACAAGGCAGAAAAAGCAAGCTGTAATGTTATCAGACTGTGGGACGAGTGCCAAGAATCAGAAATACCACAAATACTTAGCAGGTTTTCGAAGTATTTCTTCATCAATGGTATTTTCTAGAACAGAACTATTTTGTGTCAAGTATACTAGGAGAACAACTGAGGTACCTGCTATAGTGAAATTGTTACAAAGGTTTATACCTTCTGGTTTATTAAAACTACTCTTCCACAGTTCAGTACGTGGAAGATGACTCCTCATTCCTTGCTAGAAAATGTGACGTGTGTAACACAGACAAATGGTGTATATATGAAAAGGTGCAGAGACGACACCAAAACATTTCAAAATGTGATTCCACACAAGATTCTGACACGCTTTAAATTTGGTTCTATGAATTCTTAAATGAAAAAACACTGCAGTAGTGTGGGTGCAGGAGGAAATAAAGGTACTTTCACTTTAGTTGGGGGAGTTAATAAGTCAAGGAAGGAAAAGAAATATGGAGGTTGGACCCAGAGCATGCCAAACTTTCTTGTATATGTGATTCATGCTCACTTAGAAAGGATAATTTAAACTTCAAGGTTTTAGAGTACACTGAATATTGTCTTGGGTAAGTATTAGCTTTTCTGTATGTTTTTGTTTTTAATTTTTGTATGCACTGCCGTGTGTGCGCTCACGCCTAGAAGTCATGGCGACCTCTGGCAACTCTTACTGGGGCATGGAGGACGTTCAGAAAAGTAGCTTGATAGCCTGCCTCTGCCTCCCAACCCTGGTATTCTTTGCTTGCCAGGGTCGACCCTGCTTAGCTTCCAAGATCTAGCGAGATTGGGCTTGCCTGGGCTACCCAGGGCAGGGCTATTGTTAGGTTTTTTTTTTTGGGGGGGGGGGATAACTCTGATTAGAAGGTATGTAGATGATGATTTTAGTGAGCTCTAGAATCAACTTCTTGGTATATTCTGGACTACAGTGAGGAGCAAGACCACACCATTTTCCTGTATTACTAATCACAATATTCTGTTCATACAAGATACAAAGCTGTCCATTACTTTGTCCAGCACATTACTTTACTACGTAACTATTCTTGCAAAGGCAATTATCCAAAGCAAAGAGAAACAAGGCAACTGAGTTAAAACTTATACATCCTTATCTATATATTATTAGGTCCCCTGGCCCCCACCTGCAGATAGCTAAATCCACGGATCAGGGTCACAGATTTTTCCCTAAGTTTGCTGAAAAATCTGAAATGTTTAAAAAAATACACAGGGGGTTTAGGTCCCCCCAAAAGTAGAATCGCATTCTCCCCAGGTTTGCAGAAAAATCTGAAATGTTTTTAAAAATACACAGGGGGTTTCAGTCTCCCCAAAAGTAGAATAGCATTCTCTGCGCAAGTGCAGAGAACATACTTTTTACCTCAGTGTGGTAGAGCCTGGGAGCCATGGTGGGCCCAGTGACAGCCACAGTGGTTGCGAAGCAGCCCAGGGGCAACACCAGAAAGTGGTTGCCAGAGCATTGGGAGCCGCAACAGCAACAAAAAGGCTTGGGGGCCACAGTAGCAATGAAGCAGGCCAGGAACCAGGCTGGGCAGTCGCTACCAGAGAGCCCAGGGGTGCGGAATCAATGAAGCAGTCTGGGAGCCACACTGGGCCTAGAAACAGCTGCTGGAGAGCCCGGGGGCCATGCCAGGCTCAGTGAAAGAGTAGAGGGAGATGGGATTACCCCCCCCCCGGCGAGACTCTCAGGCCCCCACTTGTAATTACTAAAAATCATGTTGAGACACGTGGACTAGAGTGTGTGCAGGGCTCAGGTCTTCTTTTAATGGTTGTAAGAGCATCCAGTATGGGGTGACATGTCTTGCCCCTAGGGTTGCCAGCTCCAGGTTGAGAAATTCCTGAGGGTCTTGGTTGGTGGAGCCTGGGAAGAGATCTCTAGACCCGACCTAGAGATTGGCAACCATACTTGCCTCAGATAGCTATGGCCACACATACCCACACAGAGCAGGTGAATAACATATTACAAAGATGACATATTATATAATGCATAGTTCTTAAACTTCTATGACAACATTCCATAAAGCCAACAAGGTCAAACTTCACCCCACCAAAGAGGGTAAGCTCAGTGTACTTTACTGCAGTCCAGCTTTATCAGAAGTAGTGCAGGAAACAGTGCCAGAAGCTATGAAAAGATAAGAAGGTCACTCTGCAACAATTAAACCTACTCTAGGACTTCCTGTTGGACGGCTGACGGAAGGTGGGCTCTCACTGGTATTCAAATAAAGTGATAAAAGAAAGCAAAAGGGGGGGGGATGTAGTTAAGTCATGTTAATAAGAGGGTGTAACACTGAACTAAAAACAAGTGCTCAACAAAAGGAAAAGGAAAAGTTCTTGGAGCCAGAAAACCGAGCTAATTTGTTTTCTGCCAAGGGGAGAGAATGAGACAAAGGCAGGAAGCACTGTCCTTCCTTTATCCTACTGAATTCCAAGCTTTACAAAAAAAAATCTCAAGTACACACATCCATCAAGATAACAGGGAGAAGACCAAAGGGGTGACTTTTTTTTCTTTTTCTTTCGAGATGCAGAGTTCTGTTTTGGAAGGTATCCTTTTGTGTATTTATTGGGTGGAAAACGCTTTCACATTAAGGGAGCCTTTAAATTTGCAGAGTCATTCTGCAATAAATACCCATTGTAACGTAATTTTTTAAGATTATTTTTTAATTTAGAAAATATATATGCTGCCTCTCCAGAGAACCTTCTCAAGATGCTGGCACTTAGCTCACTGTTTGCTCCCCACCTTGATACAACTTGGTCCAGACTAAATAGATAGAGGGAGGTGGTATGAAAATAATAAGAGTAGAACTGCTGGGTGGATATCCTGATTGTATAAACAACACTAGCTGGAAAAACAACACTGTCATCAAATGCAGTTAAGGAAAGCAGAGCTTCATGAAGATCAGCAGTTGAAATATATTTTATTATGCACATTCCATAACCAGAGTACTAACAGCTGTAGCTAAATCACTGTCAACCAAAAGGATTTCTAATACTAAACTGCATGGATACTTTATCGCCACCATGCAGACCACAAAACCCAGAGCAATAAAGGCCAGTTCCACCCCACCCACAACTTTAAGAGAGAAAAAACTAAATGTAATTCATTCCAATCACCCTCTGTCTCTTAATACAGTATATCAATTATCCAACTATATCATTGGTCATGTTGACTAAGCCTTTATCACGATGAACATAACATGAACTTAACATAACACGGCACTTAAAAATACTTTCATCACCATCCTAAAACAATTACAGTAAAAGTTTTGTTATTTGGCACTCATGGGGAACAGCAGCTGCTGGTTAATCAGGCGTGCCACATGCTCAGGCTTATTGCTGTGCCCTGCTGCCCACCCGGAGGAATCCACAGCAACCAAACCCTCGACCTATGTTTGTTGGGCTCTTCCCCCCCAGGCATGGAGATATCCTACATGGCAGGCCACCAGGAAGTCCAGGAGCCCCCCAGCAGACCTGGATCCTGACAACTCAAGGAAGGCTGAGAGGGAAAAAGACACCCAAGGATGACATCAGGTGGCACAGCTGGCTGTCAAAATCTGACCATTTGGAAAGGTGGGAGTGGGACACACGCACATCTGAAGATCCAGGAAGGGGAACAATGCATTTACTGTGTTTAGTATTGATATCTCTAAAAACACTTAAATTTAGATCTCTCAGGTCAGCCACTTAGAAGGAGAGGAGGAGGAGGAGAGATTAGATTTATACCCTGCCCTTCACTCGGAGTCTCAGAGCGGCTTACAAACTCCTTTCCCTTCCCCTCCCCACAACAGACACCCTGTGAGGTAGGTGGGGCTGAGAGAGCTCTGACACAAACTGCTCTTTCAAGGACATCTCTTGTCATAACTACAGCTTGCCCAAGGTCATCCAGCAGCTGCAAGTGGAAGAGCGGGGGAATCAAACCCGGTTCTCCCAGATTAGCGTCCGCGCACTTAACCACTACACTGACTTAAACAACTTAGACAAGTTCTCCAGTATATTTTTTTCAAAAATAATATTACATCGATGCCTCCCCTTTTCCCTTGTTTTTCTGTATCCCTATTTTAATTTAAAATAACAATAAGAATTTTAAAAATCTATTAAAAATAATATTACCAGCTCTCGGGGCAGAAAGGTTTCTTCTTGCCGAGCAACAACCAAGCAGACATGCTCTCCTTGCTTTGTGCTCCTCAGGGTAGCTACCAGCTCCTCCTGGGTTCTGCCAGTGATGTCTCTACCATTCACCTAATGGAAACAACAACCAGGAACATAGAATGGGTCCAGACTGAGACATATCCTGTCAGACACATTACCAGGACTACCAGCCTTGATAGCACTGGAAATGGGTGCTGCAATGGGTGCCGCAAATGCAGAAACATCATTTGCTGCTGTGCTCATGTACGGATGGGAGGAGACATTAGAAATACTTGTCAATGCATAGTGGGGGTGGGAAAGGTAACTTAGTGTCTTTGCAAAGGACTGAGAACCTATCTACAGCACCCGGAGTCTTAAACATTATACAGTGGTTGCCAATTTGCTTCTGTGTTCAATCCAAGGCCCTGGTATTAACTTTTACAACCTTTCATAATTGGAGACCCTCACAACAAAGGGACCACCTCCACCCATACGACATTCGTCACTCAAGGCTTTACTTCTAGTTCCATCTATCAGGGCAGTGAGGGCTGGTTTGGGTTCCATCCATCTCCTCTCAAACATGGAGGTGACCTGCTGTATGCTGCAAGGTCGCCTCCATGCTTCAGAGGAGATGGATGGAACCTAATGACAGACTCTCACCATTCCACAATTAAGGATACATCAATCTCAAATTCTGACATATTTATTTCCTTGCTATGTTTTCCCCCACAAGTTGAACCCAAACACATGACAGCCATATAAACTGAGCCTGTTATTCTTTTAATCTATTAAAAATATCTTCATTATTCTGTATGTTAATTTACTTCTCTCTCTCTCTCTCTCTCTGTGATTTCTATTTCCATTTCATTGTATCTGAAGAAGTGTGCATGCACACAAAAGCTCATTCCTTGAATAAAACTTTGTTGGTCTTAAAGGTACCACTGGACTCAAAATTTGTTCTATTGCCTTCCTGATACAGAATTCAGCTAGTAAAAGTCTTGAAGTACATTTGCATAGAATACTATATCAAAATCCACTAAACAACAATTTTGCAATCAAGTGTCAAAGAAAATATTTCCAAACCTCCAGTATTCTATCTCCAGACTGTAAACGGCCATCTTTAATTGCTGCACCCCGTGGTAAAATATTCTTCACAAATATTGGACCAGGGCCATGAACTGAAGAGTCTCTGGTAACTACAGTGAAACCAAGTCCATCAGGACCTATAACAAAAGGCAGGAAAAAGCTGTGAGTCTGGGAGAACAACCAACAGCAAAGATTACATCAAAGATTTATTGTAGGGGTTAAACATTTAGATTACAAAAAGTCTGCATTATATCAGGTGTCATCACTGTGCTCTAATACCTGCTTTATTTTAGTGGTGAATTAAGGTAAGGTTTTCAGCTTCCTTCAAATACCTTGCTAAACCCTTTCTCCTTCTCTCCTTTAAATTATTTTTCTTATCTCCTGATGTGTACATTTTTCTTGTGTAAGGAATGCAGACTCATTTATAATAAAAAATGGCATATTATGAAACAGAAGATCAAAAGGACAGAAATATATCTAAACAATTTACTTCAAATAAACAATGAATGGTATTTGCTACCTTACTAGGAGACTTCAGTATTAGAGGATATACATTTGAATGTATGTTCTAAAACTTTAAATACTTTCCAATATGTCGGTGCCCATACAAGTGTTTTCTTTCTAACCCCCCCTTATATAAATGGGTATAGGGACCATGATGAGATTCATATTTAAAGCACGCACACAAAAAGTTCCCAGAACAGGCACATCAATTTTGATTTCAGTATCTCAGTAATCAAAGCAGTTACTTCTTTGTGTGTTCTCTCCTGTCTTCCTTGAAAAGTGGTGTGGCAATGAACCTGGAATTCAAACTTCAAATGCAGAACGGCATCCTGAACAACTATGCCAACTGTAATTCCAGGAGATCAATGTTCAGCTACCAGGTGCCTCAGAAGTATGGCTATCTATTAATTCCATTTGGCTACTGACGGGCTACTAAGCAGTGATTCATGGTGAAAACGGCCCTTCCACCAAGGTATTATCATCATAGTATCAGGCACAGTGATTTAAGTAACTGTTTGACCCAAACCTGCTATAAGAAATAAATAATGCCTAAAACTGATCATATTATGAAGATGTTACCGATCTTGTAAACCTATGCCTCTCGTTAAACCATTACCTTTCTTGAGGTCTATCCTTATCTTCTTTGCACTTTTCTTACTGCCAAATCCCATCAGTGGAGACAATGATGGTGATGATGGCTTCCTATTGAGTCTTGGAAGATTGGGACTTTTGGCAGCATGTAGCACTGTCCGCACCCCAGTTTCGAGGTTGTTCATTCCACATGTGTCTGCTGCCTTTGTTACTGGCTTGGAATGGATGGGAGGTGGAACCTTTGCCTTTGAAACATGCTCAACACTGTCTGCAGAATATAAAGATGCAATAACGGACTTTTCGTATTGTTCGCGGTTGTATGGAGGAACCACTTCCAAGATTATATTATGTGATTTCATTGCTTGGCGGAAAATATCTTGTGCTCTAGGACAGATGGATAGAGGAAAAATATACACAAATCAGAAAATTCAACCAATGTAAAGGCTGATTATTATAACGAATTCGTTTCGTGGATAGTTTAACAAGTTATAGCCTCGTAAAGTTTGGAATAACTTTCTTAGAAAAGCAGTTCACGAAAAACATATTTCTCACTTTTATAGTTCTTTCAGTATAGAATGTGCTTCATGTGTCAGCTTTTCCCCTCAAAACTTGTGGTGAAAGAGTTAGGATACAGGACTCTGGCTGGGTCAGGACTATGTGAGCTTCATAACCATTCAGGGACTAGAACCTGGGATTATCATGCACCATATCCAATATCATTTCCACTAAATTCCCAATGTGCTACCCCAAAGGATAACTTCCTGATACTCTTCTGATCTCTATTTGTATAAGATGAGAACACTGTGTTCTTCTATCTGTGTTTTTGCCTCTGTGTTGGCTGAAACATACTTCTTTCTCCTGCTCACTTGCACACATAACAGCTCAGAAGAGCGTTCTACTCATGTGGGTCCTGTAACATCTGATGGAGAGCTTGTGCATAGGGGTGTGCAAAAAAAAAAGTTGCCATTTTTTCGGCTTCGGGTATATCAGACCCAAAAAATATTGTTAACTGCCAAATTTCCCCAGTCCAATACCGGTAAAATATCAGGACTGGGGAAATATTCAGTATTGCCAAATATATTTGGGTCTTATATGCCCAACGGGAGGGAAGGGAGGCATGTTAAAATGCCTTCTTTCCCTCCTGAAACCCTTGCACCTTTCCTTGTCAATTTCACTCTCCACCAGTCAGCTGTTAGGTTTAAGCCCAAGGAGAAGGGAAGGCAGAGACAGTGCAGACATGTTTAAACTCGGGGAGGAAAAGAAAGGCATTTAAACATGCATGCACTGAGTCTCCCTTCCCTCCCTGAGTCTCTGCAGCAGTGGAGAGGCTCAGGGAGGAAAGGAGGCATGTTTTCATGTCTTCCCTTCACTTCCCCAGCCAACCTGCTGCAGCGGGCCAGCTAGGAAGCCAAGGGCAGGCATGGAAACATACATGGGCTCCCTGCCTGCCCTTCTCAAACTGACATGTGGCCGCAGCCACAGGGTGGCTGGAGAAGGACAGGCAGAGACAGGGTAGACATGTTTCGGGGAGGGAAAGAAACATGGCTGTGCTCTCTGCCTGCACTTCTCCAACTGCACTGGGGTAGCTGGAGAAGGGAAGGCAGAGAAAAAAGGCTTTCCCTGGTCAGTTTCACTTCCACTTAAATCTAACAGCTGACTGGTGGGGAGTGAAATTGACTAGGAATGCCACAGAAGGGAAGTCAGCATTGGCTATCTGAAAGCCAAAAAAGCCAAATAAATTCAGGAATAAATTCAGGATATTCTATGTGGCTGCCGAAAAGTTTCCTGAATTCACATTCAGTTTAGGAATGCCAAATAAATACTGACAAGGCATTTATTTATTTATTTGGTGCAGGGAAGCCAAATGCACACCCCTACTTGTGCAGTCCCACTATCAATTTAGATTACCAAGGTGCTCACTGTGGCATTGGGGAGTTCTCTTCTCATATATTACTCACATGAGCTCTTCAAACGCACAAGCAAGCATTTACAACCAGCCTTCCACCTCAATCTGTGCTTGTAAACCCAATGTAAACAATGAGTGTGCTTATCTGAACTTCTGCTATAAATTCTCTACTCTTCACAAGGGAAAAAAAATAAAAACTCTCTCTACATAGGAGAGAAATGACTTTATCCAGCACGATTCCTGTGGACAGCCACATGTTTAAATCACAGGTTAAGTTTGTTTTTCTAATGCAATGCAGTAATTTTCCTAAAAGCATCTCTACTAGAAAATTTCAGAATGCTATACTCATGGTCCATTTAACCTCACTCATTTCCTGCCATTTCAGAAACCACTGAGATATTCTTTAAAAAACAACAGTTAATTATGATAAGGATTGTCACTCATAAAACTTTAAGGCTGACAGTGAAGAGACTGAAATTGTTAAAAGATTTTCTGTCCCTTAGCACAATCACCAACCAAAAGGGAGACTGCAAACAAGAAATCAGAAGGAGATTGACACTGGGCAGGGCAGCCACGAAGGAGCTGGAAGAGATTAGGAGTAAGGATGTGTCAATGGTGACCAAGTTCAAGATAAGTCATATTATAGTACTCCCCATTACTATGTATGGGTGTGAAAGTTGGACAATGAAGAAAGCTGACAGGAAGTAGACTCTTTTGACACTTGGTGCTGGAGGAGAAATTTACAAATACTATGGACCGCCACAAAGACAAATAAGAGGGTTCTAGATCAAATCAAGTCTGAACACTCCCTAGAAGCTAGAATGACCAAACTGAGGTCATAGCAGCTTGGTCACACTACAAGAAGACAACAATGCTAGGAAAAGTTGAAGACAGCAGGAAAAGAGGAAGACTAAACATAAAATGGGTTGACTCAATCAAGGAAGCCATGGCCCTCAGTTTGCAAGGCCTGAGCAAGGCTGTGAAGGATAGGAAGTTTTGGAGTTCATTAATTCATAGGGTCACCATTAAGTTGGAAGCAACATGATGACACTTAACGCACATACAAAGTAATTCATTAAAGGAGCCTTAAGCCTGGATGGGATGAGACTTTTCCTGATCATCTTCTCACTATGGGAGGGAACAAGTTCATATCTTCTAGCCCCAATGATTGGCCATTCTGATACCACCTGTGACAGCCCTGGCCGTTCACATATGGACATGATGCTGGGATGTGGTATACAGCAAACGAAATGTAATCTGCCTAAGTCCAAATCATATGGTAATGTCCTGAATGCGGCATTTCACTGCTCAGGTCTATAGATTTAATGCATCTATGCCCCAATATTATATGTGGCCATCCAGTAGGTTTAGAAGCAGAACAGGCACTCACTCCTATCAGTAGGGCCACAGTTGATTAGCTATATGTTTTAACCAACTGGTTAAATCTCCATACATTTGCACGTGACTAAACCAAACTTGCTGCTGTTGCTATAGGATACAAAAACAGGGGGCATCATTTAAAATATCCCCCCCCTTGGGGATGGGGGGAGCCACTTGTGAGATGGTACTGTCATCAGCTCTGAAAAGATAGCTGACTTCAAGGAATTGTTCTGGTTTAACCTGGACTGCATATAATCTTGGCAGTGAAAGCAATAAAAAACAACAGCAAAACTCACTGTGCAAAGGTTTTATCTGCAAGATCTATGTTGTTAATCTTCACGATGCATTCATTCTCATGGAAAAGTCCATCCCGCTTAGACCGGCTATTCTCCTCAATGCCACGGATAAAAAGCCCTAGGATCCTGGAGGTAAAAAACACAAAGTTACGTGGAATTACTTTATCACATAATATAATCTTTATAAATAAAAAATGTGTGTTTGAGGACAACATTATAATGAATTTATTTATTTATATATTTATTTTTATTTGATTTATGCCCCGCCCTCCCCACCAAAGCAGGTTCAGGGCAGCTTACAAAAGATCAATATAAGAACAATTATGACATAAAACTGTATAAAAACAATTCAAAACATAAAGTGCTAGCTGATTGTAAACTAATACATTAGGGACGGCAACAACAGTTACTTTATTCATCAGTTCTCAATCTTTATTGTATATATGCGACTGGCACAGGCTCTAATGGTGGAGTCGGGCACCTCTTTAGTGATGATGGTGGTGGTGGTGATGGTGTTGGTGGCAGCTCCTAGCCGAAGGCCTAATGAAAGAGCTCTGTCTTGCAGGCCCTGCGGAATTGTAAAAGGTCCCGCAAGGCCCTGATCTCTTCTGCGAGCTCATTCCACCAGTATGGAGGCCCTGGCCCTGGTTGTTGACACTCTGATGTCTTTGGGGTCCGGGAGGGTCAATCGATTTTGTGACCCTGAATGCAGAGCTTGCTGGAGTACATATGGGGAAAGGTGGTCCCTCAGGTATCTTGGCCCCTAACCATAAGGGGCTTTAAAGGTAAGAACCAGCACCTTGAAGCGAACTCTGAATGCTACTGGCAGCTGCTATCGGCAGCTTTCCAATAATTCTAGAGATGTAGCCATAGTAGGAATCTAGTGTCACCTTGAAGATTAACAGATTTTAAATCTATATTAAGCTTTTGTGACATAGAACCCACTTCATCAGATTCCATATCTGTGTTATACTGGAATAAAATCTTGTTAAAGTCTTGAATCTCAGTGAAAAAAACAGGCTATAAATGAAGTAAATAAATAAAAATTAAGGTGCACTAGACTCTAATTACCATTACCCGGATAGAGCAAGCTAGCCCAATCTCATCAGATCTTGGAAACTAAGCAAGGTCAGCCCTAGCTAGTACTTGGATGAGAGGCCATCGAGGAAGTTTAGGGTTGCTAAGCAGAGGCAGGCAATGGCAAACCACCTCTGAATGTCACTTACCTTGAAAGCCCTATGGGGTCAGCATAAGTTGGATGCAACTTGACAGCAAAAGAAAATAAAGACTCTTACTTCATTTCCCAGTAAACTGTGTGCATGCACACATACTTTTAAATGACCTCTCCTAAACATATACAAGGCATATAAATAAATGCATACATTTCCAAAGCTCAGGAAATCAAAATAATCTGGGCAGATACATATGGGTTTGTGGCCTTTGCAAGTTATTGCATGTTTAAGAAAAATCTATATGTGAGGACAAGTTGATGATCTTCCCCTTAACAAACCAGGTAGCCAAAGAGGTTGAAAAAACAAAAGTCTCTTGCAGTGTTTCCGCTAAACTTCGCTAGTGTTAGCTTGCGCACAAACTTTTAGCCCTTAGCACATAGATTTCTGGATCAGTGCAGGGCAACAAAATGCTGCTGTTCTTACTTCCCCTCATAGCAGCATGCTTGTGAGGCAGAGCTGGAAGGGCAAGGAGCCACAGAGGAAGCAAGCAATACAGCCACCCAGCCAGAGAAGAGTCAAAAGTCTGCAGCTGGCCTACCCCCTCTTTTCTTCCGCAATGTGCCTGTTTCTCCCTCTCGCCGCCCCATTGTTATTTGAAAATAGGGTATTTTAAATTCCCTCCTTCCTCCCCACTGAAACCCCCCAGACAGTACAGTCCAAAAGGTAAGCAAGGGAAGGGAAACCAGGGAGCTCTCTCTCTCTCTTTCTGTGTGTGCCAGTGTCTCTTTTCTTTTCCTCTTGATTTTCTCTGCTTCTAGATTTAGTTTCTCCTCCTTCCAACTTCCTCCCAACCTTCACCCACCCCTCTCGGGTTTTGGTGGTGGGTTGTGGGTTTATTTAGTACACAGATGTTGAGGGGGGGAGTTCCTGATGTGGTCGCTTTAGCAGGCGAGAGGCACAGAGGCGCTGCTGGGCTCCGTGGTAGCAGCTCTTCCTGGTCGGCTCCTTGGCTTTCTCCCACACCATCATTTTATTTGAAAGATAAATGAATATATTTGCCTCCTCAAAAGACTAAGGACGACTATAAGGTACAGAAAAGCAGGAGTCTTATGACAACTGAAAGAGAAGCATAGTTTAAGGAGTCGCCTATTTATTTTTGACGGGGCTGCTAACCCGTAAGGTGCACCAGTCCAACTCCAGCTTTCCTTTCATTTCTTCATATTGGATTCAGCTGTCCAGCTTTGAAGTAGAACTATATTGAGATAAGAGGCTACTTTCATAAGATACGATGTTATACGTCCAGAGGGATCTTTGTGACAACTGCCCAAAGGGCTGGCATATAAAAATGAATTGGATATTGTTAGAACTTTGCAAGCAGCCATGTCGGTCCCTTAGGGGAAAAAAATAATACCCAACAGCATCTTTGTTCTTTCTTTTGTGTGTATGTGTGTGGGGGTGATGTGTGTTTGTATATTTTAATGTTTTTCATCCAGTTCTGGAGCACATAGAAACTTGCTCACTAGTTTGCAACATATTAATTGCTCCCAAATTACATAACTGTTACTGTTGGTTTAGGATTTAGTGCCTTCTGAAACCTAGGTTTAATACAAATATTAATAGACTAGGGAAAAGGCCCGTTGTGGAAATAAATACAATGGCTTCTAGAAAGAAGCTCTGGGCGGGTGCCCCGGCCTTAGACACTCAGTGTCAATTTGCTGTGGCAACCTCAGCAGGGTATAATGACACTGAGTCCACCATTTTCTCCAGAGGAACTGATCTCTGCTACTTTAAGAACAGTTGTAATTTTGAGTGATCTCCAGTCCTCACCAGAAGATTGGCAACGATGGTTCCACAGAAGGGAATAGTTGGTTTGGAGGGTGGAGTCTATGGCTTTGTACCTGTCCAAGGTCCCACGCCTCCCGAAACCTTGCCCTCTCCAGGCTCCATCCCACACATCTCCAGGAATTTCCCACCTGGAGTTGGCAACCCTATCTCCTGCCCAGCCAATCATCAACCTACCTTTATTTCCCCCTCACTCTTCACCTTTCCACCCGACCCACACCTGCAGCCTCTCCCGTGCTCTGAAGCCCTGACTGCTACGTCACATTGGCTGTCATACAGGGGCCACCTCAACAGCATATAAGGATACAGAGCCCACCATTTTCTCCAGGGGAACTGATCTCTGCCATCTGGAAAGCAGTTGTAATTCTGAGTGATCTCCAGCCCTCACCTGGAGATTGGACACATTTTACCTCAGAACAGAAAACTGTTTAGAATGTTAGAGGCAAAAGCCAATCAAGTCGCATATGCAAATGACTGTGTTCTGAGGCAAAGGCCAATGAGGCTGCATATGCAAATAACCTCTGTGTTCTGACTGGCTATGGGGGGGAGAGGAACAGCGAACTGTTTAGAATGTTGGAGGCGAGACTCAAGTGGCCTACCCCCTCTTTTCTTCCGCAATGTGCCTGTTTCTCCCTCTCGCCGCCCCATTGTTATTTGAAAATAGGGTATTTTAAATTCCCTCCTTCCTCCCCACTGAAACCCCCCAGACAGTACAGTCCAAAAGGTAAGCAAGGGAAGGGAAACCAGGGAGCTCTCTGGAAGGAGGTGCCACCACCATTCGGCTTTTATTTATAAGGGAGATTCTACAGGGTTCAACATATGCACACCAAATTAAAAAAGAATAATTTTAATGAGGTTAATTGATAACAAAAATATAGGAAATCATTTTGATGTTCTTTCCACCAGTTGTAATTGAGAACTCCGTAACACAGAAAAGTTTTTTTTCCAAACCAAACACAGTGTTTGCAAGGATACCTTTATACCTAAAAGTTGACTTGTAGGAGTTTCTTTTAAGAAGCGTCTTTTGGATTTCAAAGAGCCATATAGTGTAGTTTGAGAGCCAGTTTGGTGTAGTGGTTAGGAGAGCGGACTCTAATCTCGGAGCACGGGGTTTCAATCAATCAATATTTTATTTACAGTCCATGACCAGAATAAGAGCACAGGGTTTGATTCCCCATTCCTCCACATGCATCTATTGGCAAGACCCTGGGTCAGTCACAGTTCACTCACAGCTGTTCTGGAAAGAGCAGTTCTCAAAACAGCTCTCTCAGCCCCACGTAGAACCATAGAGTTGGAAGGGACCTCCTGAGTCATCTAGTCCAACCCTCTGCACAATGCAGGAAATTCACAAATACCTCCCCCACCCCCAGTGACCCCTGCTCTATGCCCTGAAGAGGCGGGGGGAACCCTCCAGGATCCCTGGCCAAAATGACTTGGAGAAAAATCGCTTCCTGACCCCAAAGTGGTGATTAGCATTTCCCTGGGCATATAAGGTCACAAGAACTAAGCACTGATGCAACCCCTTCTTGTGAATTGCCTAAGCTCACAGAATCAGTAATGCTGTCAGATGGCCACCTAGCCTCTGTTTGAAAACCTCTAAAGAAGGAGAGCCCACCACCTCCCGAGGAAGCCTGTCCACTGTCAGGAAGTTCTTCCTAATGTTTCGCTGAAAACTCTTCTAATTTAATTTCCACCCGTTGGTTCTGGTCCAACCTTTTGGGGCAACAGGAAACAACTCTGCACCATCCTTTATATGACAGCCCTTCAAGTACTTGAAGATGGTTATCATATCACCTCTCAGTCATCTCCTCTCCAGGCTAAACATACCCAGCTCCTTCAACCTTTCCTCATAGGATCTACCTCACAGGGTGTCTGTTGTGGGGAGGGGAAGGGAAAGGAGATTGTAAGCCACTCTGAAACTCCTTTAGGTAGTGAAGGGTGGAGTATAAATCCAATCTCTTCTCTCTATCTCTGTTATTTTAGTCCACTGCAACATGCATTCTACAATGATGTATGACATTTTTAGATGGTATCCGGAGCCCAGTTATACCTTGGTTTTGCAGAATTCCCAATGAAACAGCAATATTTTCTTACAAGGAAATGAGAAATATATTCAGTATTCAGATGTTTCAGTTTTAAGACGTTTCAGTTTTAAGCCATAGTGG